CTCTCTCTCTCTCTCTCTTTCTGTTTAAGGATAATAGTTGTTGTTGTTGTCATCGTAACGAAATCAAACCACACATCATACATTTCCTTCTCTCTCTCTCACACATTTCCTTCTCTCTCTCACACATTTCCTTCTCTCTCTCTCTCTCTCACACATTTCCTTCTCTCTCTCTCACACACACATTTCCTTCTCTCTCTCTCTCTTTGTTTTTCTTTTCCTTTAAAAAATAAAAGTAATAAAAGATCATTTTGAAAAGTTAAACTATTAAATAGAAATAAATTTAAACGAAATGTATTAAAAATTTGAACGGAAAAAGGATTATCAATCCTCCAATATACATTTGATGATATAAATCTGATATGATAAGAATAAATAAAAGCTCATATGTACCTGTGTGTGTCAGTCTGTCTGTCTGAGACAGACATATATCTTTATGATAACATATCCATGTGTGTGTGTGCATGTATACCTGTATATATATGTATGCACGTATATATACGTATGCGAAAAAATGTTAATGCATAAATATGAAATGATGGATATTTGTCACAACCAAACAATATGCAAATTAATGTGACAAAATTTATTGTTAATAAATTTGAAAAATTTAATTTGCAACAATAATAATATATAAAACATTGCATATCTTTTTAAATGATTTTAGAACCTCAAATTGCTCTGTAAAGCCTAATAAAAGATAACGAATTGTAAACAAGCCGTAATTAAAATGTGAAATAGTTAAAGAAGGAATTAAATTAAAGTTAAAGGTAATTAAAAAGTTAATTAGAAATTTCACAAAATTATCACAAAATCTTTTTCATTCCAATAATTTTTATGATTAATTATAAATTTTGACCTTTTTAATTCCTCTATTATATCTACCAAATTATTGTAACAATAATTTGTGTAATTATCTCGTTTTTTTTTTCCGCCCAAAATTTTGAGAAATCGAATGATATCATCGCAATAAATCGATATCACATTTTGATCAATTACATTTCTTTTCTTTTTTCTTTTTCCTTTTAAAGCTATCAATAATTGCATTGTTTGATAGTGATAAATTGATAATGAGAAAATGAATAAAATACAATTCAAACCTGAAATGATAAAATTAGAAAGAAAGAAAACAAGAAAAAGAGAAAATATTTAAGGATTTCGATAGAAATAATCAATGTATAAAGGACATAAAAAACCATTATATTACATTAAGGCAGAAAGATTGATCCTTATCATCTAATCATCTTAACGGTGTTATATTATTATAAGAAGTGATAAGAATGGAAGTTCATATCATCTCGTAAATTTATGGCAATTTAAGAGTGTCAAGAATTTTACCATGAAAATAACCAATAAAATAAGTTTACCCAACCATTGTGGCGGATTTATTTAATTATTAATTGTTTTCTCTCATTTAAATTATTTGTTTTTAATCATTTAACAAATTTAATTGTAATTACAAGAATATTTAACAACTCCATTTATGACAATTTATAAAAAAAAAAATAAGTGCAGAAGGATTGGTCCGATTACCGGTTCTTTAAATAATGTCGCCCAACATTATTGTTATTGTAAGAAAAAGTTTTACGTAAATTACAAAGTTCAACAGTAATTAATAACTAAATTTGGGCATTTAAAAATGGATTAATTTTTGAAGCTTAAAACGAAAGTTACTTATTAAAATTAAAGTTTAAAATAAACACAGGGTAAAAAACGATTATATAAAACCGGTTCTCAAAATAATTTCGTCACCATTATGGTCATATATGATAATTTTTTTACAATTTAGTTTTGCACTCTTTGATTGATAATTTTGTAGAAAATTATTTCCAGTCTTTGATACATCTGCTACGGATGATCCATTATGATTTGTTTGATCGATCAATTGCTGGTTTCATCGATTGTTACCTCAATATATTTTCTTCAATCATCTTTAACGTTCCCATATATTTGTCGCGATTTTTTTTTTTTTTTCTTTGGCAATGGAAATAAGCTTAAGAACTGATAATTGCTTAAGAAGCTAATATTTTATAAATTTGTTGCATTTCAAAACTGCAAAAGAAAAAAAGTTTACAACAAAAGTGGAATACTTTAAAATGCATACATTCCTTTTATTCAGTTTATTTTCAACTTTTTTATCTTTTTTGAGTGGTTGGAAATTTCGAAATGACTACTATAGTAGATAGATCGTCTATTATTCAAATCCAAAAAACAGCTAATACACAGAGTGAAGAACCAACAGTACCAAATAAAGATTTGGAAAAAAATAAGAAGAAAGGAAATTTACTGGTAACGAAGACAGTTAAAATGGTCGACAATCAATGTCCCTTATTAGTTTCAAAAAAAATTAAACAATCCGAAGATCAGGTTGAAAAAAAATTTATTTCAAATAAGAAAAGAATCAATGAAGCAATAAAAGGAAAAAATAAAGAGAAAAAGATACGTAAAGATGGAACCAAAAATTCACAAGAACACGAAATTTTGGCAAAATTGAATGAAACAGTATCATTGGATCATTTAACAGCACGTGATAATGCGAAAAATCAGGATAATTCGAATGCGAAAAAGATAATGGAAAAAATTACTAGTTCAAATTCAGAAATGATTCCGGTAAAGAAGGGAAGGACAGTGTATCACGGTTCGAAAAGTGAAGTGATCATAGGGAAATCTGAAATTATGAACTTAAGTCATGGACATACGGTGGATTTATCGACAAAACGTCCAATCAAAAATAAACCTAAAAAAAGATTTTTTCTTTTACAGCGGAATTTTAATCTGAAAACTTATCTGAAAAAGTCGCTAATTAATTTGCACCGGAAACTACTACAAAATGTAACAGTGCTTTCATTGTAAAATCTTACAAGCTAGATCTAAATAATTTTTTAACTTTTTTTTGATAAGTTAAGCTTAAATAATCTTTGTTTTTTAAGATTTAAACTCACAGGAATTACTCTCATATGAAACTTTTGAGGTAGGATAAAACAAAAGATTGAATTAGAGGCTTAAGAAGTCAATGTCATATTATTAGGATCCTTTGTGACAAAGTTGTCTAGATATTATAAAATTCAAAAATTGATTTTCAAATATGACGTCAGGCAGTTTTTCTTTCTTTGCTTATTATAAAACGAATATTTGGAATCAGTTTTATCATTTATTTATCATTTATTTTCATTCCAAATAATTGTATTTTTTTTTTGCAGTTTCATTACTTTATAACAGTTAAACTTTATGAATTATTTCCATTTTTGATTATTGGTCAAGATAATTTGGACTATGATTTGCCAATGTTATATGTCACCAAACTGACTATGTCAGATGAGGTAGTTGTCGCCAGTTTATGTTCGTTATGCCTAAAAGATGCGTTCAAATAATAATTTGGTGTTTATTAAAATTAAGCAGTGAGAAATTTCTCAACTTTTCGTTGACAACTCATTAACATTAGATCATTAACAATTGTAATTAATAGTGAAGTGTAGTCTTGAAATCAGGTATAGTCCCGATTATACCTCTGCAGCAATTTCTTTTAATTAAAAATCTTAATTAACCTTATTCTTAAAATTTAAACAGCAATTTGCAATATCTCATGAATTTACAGTAACTTACAAATAACTAAGACTGTAAAGAATGTTGGTTTCAATTACAGCAATGTGATACTATGGTTTGTATATGATAGCAAAGTATAGATTAATTACTATTAGTTTAAATTAATTACTTGTATGATTGTGATATTATTAGATCGATTTGGATACGGATGAAGAACGAATAAGTATGATAAAAGTGAAGAGGGATCAAGAAAGAAATCATATTGAAACACTTGATGGATCACCAATTGGCATGCAACTAATTGATGCTGCAATTTGGGGATCATTTTTGCCTAAAGCCAGGTTAATCATTTCTAACATAAATATATTTAAATCATTAAATAATTTCTTATCGAAATTTATTCAAATATGATTGTTTTGAAAAAATAAAAAAACTGTATGCAAATTTTCTTTTATGTTTTACTTTTGCCTCATCGTTCCAAATTCTAACATTTGAAGAAAATACATATATAATAAAATGCAAATATAAATGTTTCGTCGTGTAGTAATACTTTCATAAGGTTGTAAATATTCGTCAATATTTGGTGATAATTAAAAAATTTTTGCATAAAATCAAAGCTTAAATTTAGGTAAACTTTTTTTGGAAATAGCTGTTGTTTTATGATGATAACGTATGTTAGAAGTATCACTTTAGAGTACTAATCATTATATCATATTTTGATAATTATCTAAAAATAACTGGTGTTATTGATATTTATAATTATTTTTAAAATAAAGCTGATATTTAGAAATAAGCCTATTGCTTGAAACATTCAAAAAGTTGTTGTTTTTTTTTTGATTTCATTTTTATATGCATAATGAAATTGAAGTGATAATAATTAATTGATAACGGAAGAAAATGATGATATTCATGTAATTTATATCAATATCAATCAAAATTTTCAAATATACTTGCATATTTTTTGAACTTTTCAGATCACTACCGGATAATTGATAATATTCGTTTGTTGAATTAATTCATTAATTTTGCAGAGAAGAAAATAAAGTAAAATAAATGTTTCTTTATGTAATATTTCCATAAAGTTGTGATTTTCTTCAATCTTCAGTGACAATCAAAAATATTCGTGTAAAATCATAGTTTAAATTTAGATAAGCATACTTACTTCTTTTCCGTGCATTTACTCATCCTACTCCAATAATTAGCATAATTAAGCAAATTTCCAATTAATGAATTGATTAAGATAAGCACCATTTTTAATTGTTATTTGAGAATATATTGATATGCATAAATATATTCATCATATTTATGAAATGAATTGAAGAAACGGAGCTAATTAAAAAGTTGTTTACGTTAAAAGAACTGGTTCAATTCTTCTCTTACAATATAATTGTAATTAACAAATTATTAATCTTCAAAAGATATTGCCATTAGGTATTGTGGGATATTTTCAATTGCAATTATCATTTTTCGACTACATCAAATCTTTCTATGCATTCAATTTGCAACAATTTAATCTTTTCTTTCTGATACTTTAAGTTTTAAATTTATTTAAACATTTAAATATCACTATCACTTAGATGGGTTAATTGTGAAATTGTTAACTTTTATTGATAAAATCTGATAAAAATTTCGCATTATGGTATGAGAAGTGTGTTACAATGAATAAATGAACAGTTAAACAGATCAGGATGTAATGTTCATCACGTTATCATATTATCTTAAAGATTTACAGATGTTCCAGCAACTTCTTGTCATAATTATCAGTTATGGTTTATTGCGTAGTATGATATATGGGCAATGTGTCGGTGCAAATTGTGGTAGATCTTCCATAGGTGTACGGAGACATCATCTTTTGACATCATCAAGATTCTCCCCAGTCAACTATCGTAATCATCATCATTATCACATAACAACATTTAGCACGGGTTGTGGAGCTGATAAGAATGCTGTTGGTGATAATTGTTGTAATTGCTGTTGCAATGAGATATCACCGTCATCTCCTTGCATAAATGATAACGATAATCATTCCGGAGGTGCAACCGTAATAGCAACTGGATGTGAACCATCATCAACAGATTGCAATTCGAAGGGTGTAACAGATCCGAACATTTCACAGGAAGAAGATGAGTACCCGACAAATGTTCCATCATCTCTCGGTAAAAAACCATTCAAGATCGAATCAAATTGCCCACCTTCGCGATCTTGTCCTTTATCACCTCCTTGTCCTACTATTTCAAATTCTCAACGATTCAACCAAAACAGTGACACTCAGACATTCAAGAAAAATCTTACATTGCCGATACTTCCCAAAGGTGTACCAATTATTCCATCTCCTCAATTGGACATGTTAACTAATGGTGGTAACATTGGGTTCAGCAATATTCATGATCTTCATTTACCAACAATTCAACCACCATCAATTGGAAAGCCTCGAATACTGGTAGGTAAATTATTTCTTTGAATTTCAATCCTATTTTGATTTTCTAAAAAACACATGGAACATTACAAACATTACATTTAGGAAGTGAATTTAAAATTTAAAAAACAAAACGTTGGAAATTGTAAGAAAAAAAAACACTGCAAAATTTATTTGGTTAATTAATTCTCCGATCAATTTAAATTAGTTTTTCATTGTTGTAATTTTAATCACGCATAAATTTAAGTGTCATTTTATGAATTTGAATATAATTATAGAGTAAAAAAGGCGACATTTTAAGACTGATTAAAAAATGTAATCATATGTAAAAGACTTTATTACTCAATAAATTCTTATTTATTTGCTTTCTTACTTACAATTATTTTGCATATTTTGAATATACAGGAACCATTTGTGGATAATTTTCCATCGCATGATTGTTGCACTCGATGTAGTAGTGAAAATTGTATATTACGAAATACAAATAATGCAGTAATATTAGCAGCACGTACATTCAAGAATAGACGAAATTACGAAACAAAATGTAAAAGCAAAGAATTGAGGAAATTAATGTTAGCGGTAGGTTTCATTAATTTAAATTTTCATTAGGAATTTTCTGTCAAAAATACAACAGTAACTTTTTTTTTTTAACTCGAAAAAGTTTACTAATTTAGAAAATGTTTCAAATAAAAATTCACCGCATTTTTCTTCATTCTCTCTTTTTCTTCTTTTGCCTATTTTGTTTTTATATGTCTGAGAATGTTTAAATTTTTTTGTCATTTATTATTCATTTCCTTTTTTTTCTTTTTTTTTTTTTTAAGTATCGCTAATAGCCGGTTGAGCATACTGAACAAGTACCTTCTTTTCACATGGGTATTGTCATTTTGGATGAAAATTTCACTGTAACTAATTGAATTTTTATTTTTCTTTTTTTTTTAAATATGAAATCAAGTTGAAAAAATTATTAAAAAATGAAATATGTCACTATGATTCTATCGTTGACATTAATTTAATTGCTTTCTGTTATAACAAATTAATCATTATTGTAAAAAGTTATGTTTTTCTCAAATTAAATTACTCATACATTATCCATATCATTGATCAAATTATACAATAATGATTAAATGAAATTTGTAACTACGATCCTACCTTTGGCAGAATCGTAGTTGCGGCCAATTATAATCTTTAATGCTTTAAATAATTATATACCATATAATTAACAATTTATCACTATGGGTATATACTTGTAACAGATAGATGCAGGAATATAAATACACGAAAAACTTGTATGTCGTCAGGTTTAGACAATTAATTAACCAAAATAAATTTTTATTAGATTTCAAAAAAAAAAAAAAAAAAACAACAATGCGATTTGTCCTTACACAATACATTCTAGTCGAATTTCAATCAGACTGTTTGGTGATTAGAAATATTTTAAAATAGAAAAAAAAAATCTCAATCTCAATTTGACGAAAGAAATAGTAAAATTGAAGTTGTTTGAGTTTAAACAGTTAAAAACTGCAACAATTCTCTGCTTTTTATTTCGTATCCTTTGAGACTTTGAGCTTTCCTGCTAATAGTGATAAATTGTTGATAATCTGATAAGCATTACTGTTCATCAAAATTTTTGTTTCTAAAAAATTAAAGAAACGAAAAAAGAAATAACAAATTTCAGAACATCAAAAAGGATCCATCACGTTCAAAACGAGTAATACAACGAGCAGCGGAACAAAAATTTTCTAAGCAATTTAATGTTATTTGTTCTAGAGGTGACTTTAGTTATGTGACACATACAGCTGAATATTGTGAAGTATTCAGCCATGGTACCACCTGTTATGCTTTTACAATTCATTGAAATTTAAACTCACTTTCAAATTTTGGATAAAAAAGTAACCTGCCACTTTTCATATATTTTATTTGGCTTCAATTAGCTCCTTCCTTATCATTTGAAAATAAAAGTGATAGAAATGATAAGAGCGAAATAGGCGTAAATAATTTTGTATCATTCTTATTACTATATATTAGTGGAAATTATTCGTACATAAAGCATTTTTAATTCATCGGTTAATAATTAAAAATTTTGTTTTGTTAATTTCAACAATTCAAATTACATTCCGAACTGATATTAATGCAAAATTTCGTTCTCCTATTGGTACCAATTGTTATTATTACCATTCCAGAATATTTTTCCATACATGGTAATACTGATATTGGTGATAATAAATAATTACACGAAAAATATTTTTGAGTTTTCTTGTTCTTTTTTTTTAAAAAAATTATGAACCATTTGTTTTTGTGCTTTTTGCATAAATGAATTTGTTTTAAAAATTTTAACAATTTTTCAATTATTGCAACAGAATAAGAAAAAAGAAAAATAATCAAAAAAAAAAATTACAACTTTTGCTTTCTGCATCGTACCATAACTTTCTATACCGTACCATAATATACTATACCATATATTTTATGTGCCATGCTATAATCTCTTCACAAACATTCTTTATCGTGGAAGAGAAGCTGGCACGACCTTATAAGATTGTGAACAATAATAGTGGTGACAATTGCAATCGGAAAATCTCTCATGCTAGAACGATCTCAACTGAAGGATCAAACAAAGTGTATTTATGAGCAGGATTAGCTTGTTAATCTTCAAGCAATCATCCTAACTTTGATCCCAAAAAGCACGTTTAACCCTATACGGTCATCCATTTCAGAGATAGATATTCTCTAATTAAACATACATCCTAACAACTTTCCTGCTATCGTCCAAGTTCATTAAGCTCTAGCAAATGAATCTTAGGAGTAAAGACTATATTATAGTGTACATAATTAGTATCAATGTTTATAATTGTACAAAAACATTGCAAATAAATTTTTGTAATATCAATTTCAAATTCAAAATTATCGCTTTCTTTCATCTTTCATTCATTTCTCGAAGAATCATTTAAAAAAAAAAAGAGAAAAGTATTTAATTTTGTTTATCTTTATATTCGATATGATTGGAAATGAATTTAACAAAGCAAATTTTATGTTATGAAAATGAATCGAAAGATAATAGTGATAATAAGATGATAATGACGATGAAACAGGAAAACAAATCAGACAAATGATGCAGAAAATATGATAATAATGAAATAATAAAATAAATTAACTGATTGTTTGTTAACAAAAAGATGATAATAATAACAATGATAATGAAGATGAAGGAAGAAGAAAAAACAAACCATCCGATAAGGTAAAATAAAAACAAAATATTTCTGAACCATACAATGTGTACAATTTTATGCTTTCATTTTTCAATGTACACTTTTTTTTTAAAAAAAAAGACTATACATTTTTAAAAATAACATTGTCATTATCCTTTTTTATCAATATTAACAGAATAAATTTTACATATAATTAATAGCACTATCAATGCTTTTCGTCAACGATGCTATCAAATCATTTAACAAATTAGTTAATCAGCATTATCATCATCTTACGTTATCAACACTGACAGATTAATTTAAAAAAAAAACAAAATAAATTTTCGCAGTTTATTTTAACGGAATCCAACTTAAACTTAATTTGTTAACTTTTAATTTCTATCAATCAGGTTGTTATATTTACTTTTACCCCCTTTATCAAGTTTCTATCTAATACTATTACTTTTCTTCCTGAAGTTTTATTTCAAGTTTTTTTTTCCTACCACGGAATTATTCATTCTTTAATTTTATTTCGAGTTTCGTTTTTTCTTTCATGAAATTACTCATTCTTTTCCCCATTGTACCATTCAAATTTAGTTGTAAGTTATGGAGTGGAAAATTTGTTGTTTGCTGGCAAAAATAAATTTTTGTGGAGAATGAAGTTTGGAAATGATTTCAGGTCAAAAGAAATTCAAATTTAGTTTCACATTCAGAATCATTTATAACTCAAGCTATTCCTTAAAGTTAAAAAATTTCTCGTACTAAACTATGACATAACAAATGATGGATAAAATGAAAAATAGTTGTAACAAAATTTCAGAAAATTTACTAAAATTTAAACCAAAAAAAATAAAAAAATCTGGATTTAAATCTAAATGACGAAATTTAGAAATTTGTTTTAATCATCAATAAAGCGCTATTGCACTAATTTTAAAGTTAAGTCAAAATTTTTTTTTGCAAGTTGGCTTAAAACTTCGTCAAAAGTTTTAACGGTTAGATTTCAAAAGAGGAAAAATATTAAAAATCAGGTTAAAGTTAAGTTAAAAGTTAAATTAAAACTTTTCCATCATAAATTTTTAGGATTTTCAAGCACACTTTCAATTCTGCCATTACTTGACTTTTTTTTTAAAAATTTCTTTCAATATCTACAAGATTTCATACATTTCCAATAGTTTTAAAGGAGCTGGAAGCTATTTTAACTTTGAAAAAAGTAAGTAATCATTTCCTTATAAAAGCGTTTTTGTTGTTGTATTAGAAAATATATTCGGATATATACAAACTTATGAATATAAATTAAAACAAGTTGACAACATTATTGTTCCTTTTTTTTTCTGTCTGTCGTTATCATTACTGTTGATCAAAAATCAAAAGAAGAGCTGTTTTGACGACCATTTTAAAAGAAATTACTGTCATTCAGTTACCGCATCATTCACTAAAGTAGTGAAAGTCATTCACTAAAGTCAGGTATACCTATCTTTAATTTACTTACTTTTTAGTATATTTCCTTTTTAGTTTTTAGCATATTTCCTTTTTAGCCCACTTGGTATATTTTTCTCTTCCCAAATGAATTCAATAATTTTTTTCTTTATCAAAATTCCCTTTTTTATTTTTCTTTCCTCACATATATGTTATTAAATTTCAGGTAACAAATTTATTGAGGAATTTTCGGCATTTCAACTTACAAAATATTTGTTGTTTCGTTTATGGATCCTTTATCTTATCACTTCATTATTTGCTTGTAGTCAAATTTTAACAGCTGAAATTACAAATTTTTTGATAAAAGATAAAAGGGATAAAGAGAAATACGATAAAAAAGTGGGAGTATACGAATGATATGTAGCGATATCAGGTAATATGATCGAAGTTATATTGAATTCAGATTCCAGCTGTCAGTTAATTATTATTGTTCAGATCTCAATAATGGGACAATTATCATTCGAGACAACTTTGCTAATTCTTTATATCACCACCATAACACCAATTGTATCCCAATCATATGTCTGTACATATACATATGTATATTGTTGGTTTTACTCAGCACCAGCGCCAGCACCAGCACCAGCAGCACCAGCACCAGCACCAGCACCAGCACCAGCACCAGTACCAGCACTACCACAACCACTACCAGCACCACTACCACCACCACTACCACCACCACTACCACCACCACTACCACCACCACTACCATTACCACTACCACTACCGCTACCACTACCAGTACCAACAACAACAACAACAACACGAGCACCACCAATGCTACCACTACCACCACTACCACTACCACTACCATTACCACTACCACCACCACCACTACCATTGCCACTACCACCACAACCACAACCACCACTACCAGCACCAGCACCACTACCACCACAAATACCACCACAAATACCACCACAAGTAATAGCACCACAAGTAATAGCACCACAAGTAATAGCACCACAAATCCCAGCACCACAAATACCACCACAAATACCACCACAAGTAATAGCACCACAAGTAATAGCACCACAAGTAATGGCACCACAAATCCCAGCACCACAAATACCAGCGCCACAAATACCAGCCCCACAACCACCATCAGCACCTGTAGTGGTTTGCTGTTGCGTGCAGGTTTGCTATCCATGCCCTTCACCTAAATCTTGTCAACCATGTCCCTGTACACCCTGTTCATGTCAAGCGGTAAATTTTAATATTTTCTACTTTATTTTAAAATTATTCTTTGTTCAAAATATAACTCATCCTTCAATATTATAACTGTTATACAAATGCGCCCAATGCCAATATCTTCATTCAATGCAATTTCTCAAAAGATTAATCTTTCTCATTCCTGAAAAAAAAAAGAAGCAAACAATTTAACATTATGAGAAAATATTTTCCTTTTTTTTTAGCCTAAAGCTGTACCAAAACCCCAGAGTACCTGTTGTAGCTCTTGCAAAGCTCCATGCACTAGTTATCAGACTTCTTATGGTCGAAAACGACGCTCAGTAACCGCTGTTGGTTTTCGAAAAAGTGAGAAAAGCTTAAATGATAATCCTGTTTGTAACAATGCCAATTTACGGCATATCATGAAACAGGTATTTCATTTAGAATATAACAATTAATGATATTTATTGATTATGCGACTAATTTAAACTACTATAATTTCCACTATTCTTGTCAAAAATTTCATCTTGATAAATACATCTTAGCACACAGAAAAAAAAAGAAGAAAACAAAATTATTATTTACAACTCGTGCTAATAACTTTTGTCAACCGAAATCGGTTGATATCACAATAATTAACATTCTTCACTTAACTATTAACTGCTCAATGTATAGCTAAATTGTTGAAAGTCAAAATTTGCTTGCAATTTAAAACATAGCATATAAAGCCGAAAATAAAAAATCAAAAATACAAAAAAAGTTTCGTTGCATAAAAAAAGTGATTTGTTGAATTTTAAATTTTAACAAATATAACGGAAATTGGTAGATATTGAGTAAGAACTTTGTAATTTCAATTTCATATTTCGATGAAATGATACTTAAACTTGAAATTTATGACAAATCTTCATTTTCTCTCTCTCTTTCTCCCTCTCTCTCTCAATCTCAACCTTTCTCACTTTACTTTTGAAATTTTTGTAAAAGAAATTAAATGGTAGAATTACCGCTGAATAATGATATATTTTTTTAAGATTAAGCAATAATATCATTTTAAAATTATGGAAATTTTTGGTGTAAATATTGCAGAATATGGTGAATGATAATGTTTGGTTAAGTAAAGAAACGATCCGAAAAGTTCTCAAAACGACGAATTCATCCATTCGATACAATGTTATTTGTAGTTCCGGTGTTTTAGCCTATATCACACATACTCATGAATTCTGTTTAGTCCAACAAAATAATATATCCTGCTATGTTTTCAGGTCTTCAAAAAGTTTTTCAATAAAATAATTTTCCAATAAGATGATTATCCTTTAATATATTTTTATTGCAAACAGATATTTAGAAACTTTTTCCAATATTTATTCATCAATAAATAGTCAATGGTCAAATAAATTGGAAAAAAAATAATTGAAATGATTGCTGAGTTTTGCATATGATAATTCATATGATTGAATGAATATATAATTTTTTTTCATAACAATTTAAAATAGCCAAGTGGACAGCCACTGAAATGAAGGAAGAGAAAGGATTAAAAAAGAATTAAAGAATTAGAAATTAAATAATTGAATTAAAAAAGGGTTAAAGAGAAAGAATTAAGACATTCTAACTGTATAATAATTATCAATAAATCTTTGGCTATTTAATATATGGAATAAAACCTATGGTTGAAAGATAATATGGGAAGTCAAGTTGATTTCGTTCTAACTTTAAATTTACTTTTTCATTTCTTCGTTTACTTTTTCATGAAAAAGTAACACTGTGGAGATATTACAATGCCTAGACTATCGCTGGATTATTTTTGAGGAAGAATATGATGAAAAATAAAAGAGAAATAAATGCATTCATCAAATTGCGACAAATATCAGTTTTGATTATCAAAAGTCCAATAAACATCATGAAATACCTGGTCACATAGATCGACCATATCTTTATCAGTAAATATGATAAGAGCCAAAATGCACCAAATCATGCTTATTTCCGGATTTTCATTAGATCATATCATATCTACGAAATATGCAAAAAAATTGCATTATATTGGGTATAAATTAAATGAATTATTTGTAATCTACTGCTTTTTTTTTTAATTGTAAGCGGAAACGATATTTATTTGTTAAATTTCTGTCTATTTCAATCAGTATACAAAAATTTTGTTTTACAAATTTTAAAAGAGAGTGGAACGAAATGGAAACAAAAAAAAAAAATGTGGAATATTTGCAATACAATGTTAATTTATTAAGGGAAAAGTCTGTCTTCTTTTCCTTTTTCTTTTTTTTTTTTTTAACCAAATGATTGGGATACATAAACATGAAATGAATTGAAAGGATAGAAAGATTTTGAAAACTTATTGACAAATAAATGAGATATTTGAAGTTAAAATATCGTTTCATTCAATTCAAATTAAGTGCAACAAAATATGGCTAAATATGAGCAAAATCTCGTCGAATCAATAATTTTGTTTAATTTTAACTTTTTCTTGTCACCAAAGTGATGAATGGAAAGAGTATGAAAGAGAAGTGGAAAGAAGCTTGACACTTTTCACATTTAATGATTGCTCAAAAAATTTTTCGCTATAATTTACAAAACTTGCCATTCCAAATCATTTTGCGCCTATCTCTCATTAAACCCAATAATGGAAGACTAAAATTGTCCCGTCTTAAATTTCTGAAGAAGAAGAAGAAGAAATAATTTTCAGCTATTTACTTCATCAATTAGAATTGGATGAAATCATTAGTGGAAAAATAAATGATGGTTGCTGAACTGCAATATCTCAGTGGACATTATTAATGTTTATCGGATGAATTTCCCGGTGAAACAGAATGGTTCCTGAAAAATAGAGTATAACATTGTAAATTTTTTTCCATATTTAATACCTATACCATTCGCTATAATGGGATTTTTATCAATACAATTGATGCAATTGATAAAATATCAGGATAACGATATTTTATCACTTATTTATCAATTGCTCATTGACTAACGTAAGCTTGCCATCAATTAGTAATCTTTTTATCTTTACATTAAAATTTTAAAGTATTCATGGTTGATTTCACGTTTATTTTTTGATCGATAAATGCAAAAAAAGAGAAGTAGGCAAGCAAGATAAGACATTCGAGAGGGTTTTAGAATGATCATTAGACTTCAACAGGAAACACAACAGATTTAATCGATATGTGAACAGAGATGTCATTTTTGCTTGAAATAGTTGGAAAATTTCGATCGAAAGATTGTATAAACGAAGCTGGGACCACTCTGACACTTTGATCTGTCAACCTGATCCAGCCAAGGAATCATACAATATTTCCCTTTACTATCATCACTTTTATCCGGTCCAGCAAGGGACGGTAATTCACTCGATGGTTCTTTCTACGCTTACCTTTTCTCAGTTTTCCTTCGTATTATTTCATGAGAATAAACAAGTAATCAAGTCTAAGTTTGCATATCTCTCATTGGTAGTGGTTTGGATCGTCTGATATAATAAGCATTAAAATGATAAAATTATTCTCACATATCAAGCTGTAATTTGCTTCTTTTGTAGCTGAATAGTAGCTGAAATTGAGTAGTAGCTGAATTTGTTAGCAAACGGGTTAGCAGCTTGATGCTAACATTATTCACTTTTACTCCTTCTTGTAGGCTTACAGTACTTGTCATGTCTTTGGCCGTATTTAAACTAATTCATTCATATCTTCTGCAATGGTTAGTTGTGTAATTTCGATTTGGTAGAACGTTTTTCGAATTTTAATTACTTTTTAAATTATTTCTAAATTTAGAAGAATTTGGCTATTATTCAATAAACTGAACAATGTCACTTTTCCGCTATAATCCTCGCGATTATTTCTATACCTCACCGATGGAACGTTTCATAGTAAATCTCCTCTACAGCACATTTGATGACAGATCTTCATATCGATCGCCTCAAAGTGTTGCACCATACTGGCTACATCAGCCGGCGTTGAACGAATGTAATATTGGAAATGCGCTTGGCGAGGTAATTGTAATTTTTCATTTACTATTTCTCATATTTTTAGATACGACATCCATGCTTAAATCACATGGTTTCACATAAAATGTCATCCACTTTGTTCGTTTGCTTTTATTGTCCCAAAATCCGCTTGATCACTTAGTGTATGAAGTAACTGGTTGCAAAAGTTTTCTTCGAAGTATTTCAAATCAGTTGTGATAAATTTCAGGTATTAGATGAGAAAGATAAGTTT